GGAGGAGCTTGCCACAGGGGCGGCGGCTGGTCGTTGCTCCAGCTGTTGTACGTGGCTGCGAACACTCTTGACTTCGGCATCGAGGCTGTGAATGTCCTCCTGCTGCGCGATGCATGTCGCCAGGAGGTCCGTAAGATGGGAGAGGAGGAGGGCAATCTTGCTCTCGCTCTCCTCCATCTTCCCTRTCTCCGCCTCAGTTCGCCATTCCGCTGCCAATGTGAGTAATGCTTGCTCCCCGCTGAAAATCTTCTCACGCCGCTTCAATCATTCTTCATCTGCAGCCTTCGTTGCTGCCTCGGCCTGCAGACGCTGCTGTTCAAGAGCTAGCAGTCGTGAYTGCTCGGCATCCTCCGCCTTCTTCTTCTCTGCGGCTGCTACTGCATCCGCCCGCTGCTTGGCTTCTATGATCAAAGCCAGCATGCGGTCCTGATATGCCCCCGCCGTTTCCCCCGATTTCTGGTCCATGACGGCTATCTGCGAGCGCGTCAGCATAAACAGGCCCGGGTGGCTGACGTGGCACTCCCTGTTGACGTGGCCTGCTGATGTGGTCCGCTGATGTGGTCCGCTGATGTGGTCCGCTGATGTGGTCTGCTGACGTGGTCTGCTGACGTGGTCTGCCGACGTGGCCCGTTGACGTGGCAACTTACCAATGCCACTACAGGGAATACCCGGAATGGATGAAGAAGATGAGATCAGAGATGGCAAACAACGTAGAAAGGGACGGTGGGTGGGGTAAATCGCCCAGATAAGGAGCCGCTAATAAAAACAGAAAAGGTTGAACTTTGCAAAAAAATTCTGAGGGGCCGAAGAGAGAAAAAAAAAAAAAAAAAAAGTTGTTTGCAAGTTCAGCAAGCTCCCCCAATCCCCGAAGTATGAAATATAACAGAAAAAAAAATCGATTTCCAGACTGCAAATGATTACAAAAAAATTCGGATTTGCTTTAATGAGAGTATGCGCAGCTTGGAAAGTAATACTGCCAGAGAGATTTCCCATACCGTTTTRAAAAAAATGAACTTCGAAAAAAAATATTCCGAATTTTTTTGAGTACGAAAAACTGCAAAATCGAGATTTTCAAAAAGAGATATTCTGGATTTCCAACAGCGAAATTTCGACAAGACAACAGAAATTTCAGGAGTTGTGCTACTGCGATTTTTCCACAATCAGAAATAAGGGAAAAACGAAATCCAGAAAAAAAGAAAAATTTTGATTTTTGGCAGTTGGATCAAAATCGTGATTTTGGGGATTAACTAGTGTGCTCAACCAACCAATAAGTCAGTCGAGTCTTCTTCACCAGCTAACTCCCCGTACACGTGTCAGATCAGGTAGTCCTGATTCACGTG